AATGTTTACAAGAGTTCTTTGGAGGTACTGATATAAACTATTTGTTGAAATCCTCCTTGTTGCTATAATTGTACTGGAAATTTTCAATGAGTTTTAGAAGATTTCTGGTGTTTGACTGCTTGCTTTTGCAAAATACATTTTTTTATTCTATACGATATTCAAAATAAGATATTGTAGCACTTGCTGAATCCTGGGGTAGGGTTTGTAGCTCTAATCACTATACAAGCAACATTGAGAATCTATAATTAAATAAGTGGAAGGAATGTTCAGTGCTCATTCTTTTGTCACAAGGTATAAGATTCCCATGACTATACCGTAATTTATGCAAGTCAACTTGTTTGATCTATATCAGGGGTGTCAAACTCGATTTCATTGAGGACCAAATCCGGGTTGTGTTTGACCTCAGGGAGCCAGGGGGGCATGGCCAGCTCGACATCACTCATGTTGGGGACACCTGTGGTGGCCAAGTGCTAAGGCAGGACTTCCCTCAGACCCTCCCTCACCCTCATTATAATCTCCTTCCTTCCTTCCTTCCTTCCTTCCTTCCTTCCTTCCTTCCTTCCTTCCTTCCTTCCTTCTTCCTTTTCTTGTTTTTTCCTTCCCTCTTCATTCTTCTTTCTTCCCCTCTTTCCTAATTTTTCCTTTATTGCTCTCTTCCCATCTTCCCTTCTTTTTCTTTCTCTTTCCTCTTTGCCTTTCTTCTTTTCTGTCCCTTCTTGCATGCTCAAATGCAAAAGGACAAACATTTCTCCTTTTGTTTTATTTTTACTTTGTTTTGCTAGCCCTCTGCCAGCAAAAACAGAGCCTAAGGGGGCCACGCGTGACCCTCTTAATCTCCATTTTCACTGGCAGAGGCACTGCGGGCTGGTCCTTTGCTGTTTCCAGTGCAGACTCGCAGACCAGATCTAAGCACCCCATGGGCCGGATCCGGCCCCCGGGCCTTGAGTTTGACACCCCTGCTTTATATGATCCACACTGAAAAACAAAACTCCTCCTCTTAAGTCAAATTCATTGGATCAGCAATGTCCCTCTTATTTTTTGGTGGCAGGTAGGACATAGCAAAATGTTATGTTTCATGATGCAGTTTGTTAGCTGGTAGCAAGTCAAACAAGTCAATATCATTCTGTGGAAATGGAATTATATTTACTTCTGTAGCACTGGAGCATGTGGGACAAATGGTCAAAATAGTAGCCACAAAAATATGATCAAAGTCCTACCATCTTGACTTTTTTTATTGCCTCAGTGAACATGTCTGCTGTAATATGAGCATAATTAAGTTTGCAACAATATATTATTATTATTGCATTGTGATTCATATAACAGTATTCCTTGGCTTCTTCTATTTTGTCAGAACCACATTGTGAATTATTTATCTAAGCATGGGTCAAAGCTTTAAAGGTGTAGAGTCACAAAAAGATTAGCTTTAGGACTTGGGGTGAAAGAGTTGATGAAGGCAGAAGGCAAGTTTATTCACAGTGTATTAGAGTAAAAATTATGACTTTATTAGGAGGGATTTTATTAATAATGACTGCATATTTGTAAATATGTACATTCTATTTTTGATTTAGGAGAAACTGATCCTTAATAATGTTAGTCAGTGTTTAACCTATTTCAGTGTTCTCAATCATATTTAATCCAATGGCATAGTAGCATTTTGCCATTCCCAAAAGGCATACAGAGAAACTCACTGGGTGAAGACTTGATTTCAGAATTAGTTGGATGGTGAGTAGCTCGTAAGAGTCCCAAAGGTGCTTTTTCAAAAAGCAACTGAACGTTTCGCTTCTCATCCAAGAAGCTTCTTCAGCTCTGAGCTGAAGAAGCTTCTTGGATGAGAAGTGAAATGTCTTCAAAGAAAAACCAGAAAGACCAATTCCCTCTTGAAAAAGCACAACCATGACCTGGATGACTGAGAATTGCCATAGACATTTAGTTTGTAAGAGGTTTTTTTACCTACTTGTAAAGCACAAGCTTGGCTGACACTTTTATTTTTCTGTGCCTAGAAAATGAGCAGTCACCCAGCTCTGCTAATCTTGCCTTTGAAAATTTCTGTCAATTGTCAGAGTTCAAGTTAAGATGCTACCACTGATCGTCCTTTCTTCTCCTCTTTCATTTTCATGCTATTTCATTCTTCTTGTCTAATGCATCATACAAAGACTGGAGGAAGAAACTCACTCTCTGATTTTACGCTATTCACTCTTTGTCACAAAATTATTGTAAGAATAAAGTAGGGAGCTTTAATGTACAAATAAGATCTTTTCTTTTGCTCCTATTGAAGAATCTTGTACAAGCTTACACATGTATGCATCGCTGTATGTGCTAAAATGGTCAAATAAAGTCATTGGCTGGGATAGTTAAGAGTAGTTCACAAAATGTAAAATTACTCCCTATTGTATTAATCCCAATTCTACACAGAACAATAGAACTTTTGATGAGTCAATTGATGTAATTGGGAATGAATAGGTGATGAAACTCACTACAGGTTTGACATCAACAAAATAGATTTCAGATGAAAATATATTTCAAGATGTATGCAGCACAGGAGACATACACAGAAGCCAGTGGCTTTGTATGGCAGGATCAGAATCAGGTCCCTGTGCTGATGTAAGTGGCTATCTACCTTAATCTAAAGGAGAGATGGCCAACTACCTTTATTTCGGGAGCCATGCTTCTTCTCTACACAACAACTGAACAACCAGAAATTCATTTTGTAACTAAAGAATGCAACACTTTTTCTCAAATTTTGTTCCCTTCTAAATTTAGCTTTTTGAATTAATCTCTAACACAGAGCCGTAATCTGTACAGATGTCAGTCTAGAAAGCTCTCATCCAAAGCAGCGTAATTCATTGGAGGAGCAGCTATCTTTGCCTCCCCTTCCATATTATAACAGTTATAACAGTAACAGAGTTGGAAGGGACCTTGGAGGTCATCTAGTCCAACCCCCTGCTCACGTAGACCTATACTAGGGATTCAAACTGCTGAATTGCTACCCTTTCTGATCGACAAGCTCAGCGTCTTAGCCACTGAGCCACCTAGCCAGGTTAATATACACATTTCCATGAAACAACATTTAAAACAAAAAATATTTTTTTTCCACAGCTTTTTTCTCCCTCAGTGTTGCTTGAGGAGCAAAAAATGCTACCTTCTGAAGACAAGCACCACACTCGGGTATGGAATTGAATTCCAGAAGCAATAATTTGAAAGATGGGAGGGAACATATAAAAAAATCATTAGCATTTTGTTTCATTTAAATGAAATGTACTTAAATCTAAATAGATGTAAAACTGTTAATATAATTGTCACACTAACATTTACAGTGATAGAACAGTGTTGAACTGAGCTCTAATGGATTCCTTTGTTTTTTGTTTATCCATCCACCGAGCTCTATATAATGTTAACAAAATGCTCTTGAGAAAGGATCTGCATAAGATAAAATAGACAGAATCATATTAATAAAATATATTTTGTGGATTTAAATCTGCTGTACTGAAGAATTTGCCCTAGTACATTATAAATGGTTAACGATTTTATCATTTCAAGGTGTAGCAACATTTCAATGAGTACTTAAGAATCTGATACTCTTTTATTAATACTATGTATGGGCAATATATAGTCAGATTCACAGTTTAAGAATGGTAGAAGTGAAATAAGGACCAACTCCTAACCAAGGACCTAAGAATGGTTAAGGTAGTGTCTTAGAATCTAGGCAGTTCCAAACAGGATTGGGGTTTTGGTTTGGTTTTTTTTGTTTTTTTTTTGGTAAAGTTAGTGTTCAAGTCTGATAAATTCAATACTTCCAGATATCAAGGAAGTCCTTTAAAATCATTCCATGAGCTGCAATCACTATTCATAGAACAATGAATTTATTTTTCCATAAGCATTCAAGCATTCACTTAGGTCTTTAAGTCCCAAAGTTTTGTAATTTTTTCAAATTGTTTTTCTTTAATTCTAGAATCACTGGAATAGCAACATCACTGAACCAGACTGTCTTCTTTTCTATAACTGTATTATCAGGCATGTTATGAATGAGATGCCTATCTGTTTGGATCTTATTATTATTATGGTTGGTCACACAGTTGGCCAGAGGTTTAGACTGGATTTAGTATTTTTATCCACCCGCAAGAAGTTTTTGTTTGATTGCATTGTGGAATGTAAACTGTTCCAAGTAAGGCTTCCTTTTACAATTGATTTATGGTGATTGTGTCAATGCCAATTGCATTCAAGTGATGCTCCAGATGATTTTGGGTTGCACCAATTCCCAAAACACTGTCAAATAATTTACTGTATTTACTGTATTACTATTATTCTTCTCTTAATTACTAGTATCTATCTCTTTCCACTTATTACTATAACCATGTTTCTTGTATCTTTCAATTTATCTTATTTTTATTTGTTTCCTTGTACGATTTGATAGCTTATTAGTAACCTTGACTATCACTAAGTGTTGTATCTTTTTATTCTTGATGAATGTATTTTATTCTCCTTATGTACATTGAGAGCATATACACCAAAGACAAATTCCTTGTGTGTCCAATCACACTTGGCCAATAAAGAATTCTATTCTATTCTATTCTATTCTATTCTATTCTATTCTATTCTATTCTATTCTATTATTACTGTTAGTATTATCTTTCTTTTCTTTTGCCACAATTGTTCTACTTTTTTTTTAATTAGGACTGTTTTTTTAATAAAAGAAAGTGAAAGGATAATAATATAACCAATTATATTAACAACATACAAAAATAGTAGAGTGTTCAATCCCTCTGTTTAAAAAATGGAAAAGAGTGATGTGGCGGGACATGTCTATGATCCAGTTGTCCCTCAAACATTGCCCCCCAAAAAAGATTGTTTTCCTGTTACTGAACCAAACTGTAAGATATTTCGCACTAACCTTACAGATCAGGTAAGACAATAAACCTGGAGCCATTTTAGAAAGTGTTATCTGCTTCCTCAAAATCAGAATAAGGACAGTTTCATCAAATATATTTGCAGTGTCATCTTCACTGCAATTTGACTTGTTGCCATATGGTTGCTGTGAAAATTTCATCATGATATCATTTTATTGTTTCTTCTTTGTTTCTTTTTTGAGCTTCTTGTTCACCGAGATAGCAGCAAGTTTGGGTTTCTTGACTACTTCAGCACTTTTCGTTTCAAAGCTTTCAGTATCCATTTTATATGTCTTTGGAACAGAGAGGATTATCGCCAGAACACAAATGAGCTGGAAAATGGCACCAAAGAAAAGGCCATAGTGTAAGATGTTCTCCATAAAGGTGGACTCTGGGATTTCAGGGGATGAAAAATCCAACTCAGCAGCCATAGTGAAGTTCTTAAGTTCTTTTCCAACAAAATTGGACTGGCTTGTTTCTCCCACTCAAGCCCAACCTTCGTTCCCCCTATAATTGTTCTACTTCTATTTGTAGGTCTTTTGTGTTGTGTGATTTTCTCCAGTTCTTTCTCTTGTCTTCTGCTCTGCCCAGATACTGCTATGTCCACTGTCCAAACCTTTTGTCTTAGAATTGTATATAATTATATAATATTTTGTCATGTAATTATTATTAATCCCAAAGATCCCAAACCACTTTTTTTTCACCACAACTTAATGGGATGCTATCTCAGGAAAAACACCCCATACATGGAAATGCCACCAAAATGTTTCTCCCTCTATTCATGCCTTTAAGTTTTAAATTTGAAAAAAAAAAACCAAAAACCCATTTGTATGAGCTGATGCTTAAAATTTAAAGTGTTTCGTTTCAGACATGGATTTATTGCTTTATCCACCATTGATGACAAGTGGATCTAAAGCTGAAGACTGACACTTCCTGATTAACAGAAGCATTTAAAATCTTTATTCATCTTTCATTAAACAGTGTATAGTAAAGACAAGCACAAATGGAATTTACCTTTATTGCCAACAGGCTCTCTGATACCTATATAAACTTTGATACTTATACTCTGATTCTGAAACTTGAAATACCTAAACACGGGAGGGCTTTTTCTCTGGCACAATATCATGCCCTCCCCTCAGTAGCCCTTGAAGGCCAATATTGAAAGATTCCTTATCCAGAAAGGCACAGCCTTTGTGACACTGGACACACAGAAACAGCAGAGCATGTACTTCTCCATTGCCTATATTACAGAGTCATCCATATGCCCTTCTATCACCATTATTGCACAATGTAATTCTAAACTTTCAGATACCAACCCTGCTACAACATGCAGTGTTACTATGGTAGGTTCTGCATATATATCTTCTATGCTTTTAAATTAACTGTACCCCATCTTCCTTATACTTATACTGGTCTATCACTGTAATAAAGATTTGATTTGATTTGTACCTATCTTTGCAGATACCGAAGTATTGCATAAATACAATTAAGTTAAAACACAATGCATAAAATTGCTATAAATAACATCAGTTATTCCCTCTAAGGATGGAAATGGAAGTGGGCAGTGGGGTTACCCTTATATCTTTCCTTTGACACTCCTCAATGACCCCAGGATTGCTATTTTGCATTCCTAATTTCAATGGTGTGATCTCATGAGTTTTCTTTGGAGGAACTGGACAGTTTGTAAAAGTGGGAATAAAAATTACCGTATTTTTCGCACTATAAGACGCTCCGAACCATAAGACACACCTAGCTTTTGGGGAGGAAAACAAGAAAAAAATTCTGCCTCTGCCTCTGCCTCTGCCTCCCAGCAATTTGCCTCCTTGCAGCAAACAGCAAACAACCTGGTCAGCTTCAGCACAGCCTGATTTAGCACAAGCAGCTGATTGGCAGTTGGATCGGCCTCTCAGCATACCGCCGATAAGCTGTTCCAGGCTGTGGAGATCGCTGCTGCCCATTGCTGCCCATCACCACCACCGCCTATTACCGCATTCGTGTGGCCCATTTTCGGGCCTCTGTGTGTCCTGTTTTTGACCCTTTCCAGGTGGTGGGGATTGCTGCTACCTATCACCACTGAAACGCGGTGGCGGCAATCCCTGCTGCCTGGAATGGGCCAAAAATGGGACACACTGAGGCCAAAAATGGGGCACACAGAGGCAGTAATAGGCGGTGACAGTGATGGGCGGCAATGGCGGCGATCCCCACAGCCTGGAACAGCTGATCGGCGCTATTCTGGGAGGTTGATCCAACTGCCAATCAGCTGCTTGTGCTAAATCAGGCTGTGCCAAAGCTGACCAGGCTGTCAGCTTTGCTACAAGGAGGTAAATTGCTGGCAGTCAATTTAGGCTGAAGTGTGGGGGCCAATGGGTGGGCAGGGCTTCAGCAACATTTGCTCTATAAGACTCACAGACATTTCCACCCACTTTTTGGGAGGGGGAAAGTGCATCTTATAGACCAAAAAAATACGGTACTCAGTTTCCAAAGGCTTGATGCTCTCATTTCACCCTTAGGAACCCACCAAAACCATGAGCATAAGCTGAAAGAAGAACTCTAGCCCTTTCTGTAATGTTTCTACTTTCTGAAGATGTTAGCTAGCTGGGGACACAAATTGATTTTGGGAATACTGTTCATCCTTCTTTTAAAGTCCCAAAGGTGCTTTTTCGAGAGGCAACTGGATTTTCTGTTTTTTCTTTGAAGATGTTTCACTTCTCATCCAAGAAGCTTCTTCAGCTCAGAGCTTCCTTTAAAGATTCATCCACATGCTTAGGATATTATGCTTTAATCTTTTCACAAATAGATGAAAGAGAATAACGTGTTATCAACACTTCTGTGTTATGGTTTGGAGGTTTCTCCTCAGTTTTAGAAGGCTTCTAAGCCATCTATAAATTATTTATCAACTTAACAGCGAAAATAGACAGTTGTTTATTAGTTATAATGAAGAAGATATGCATCTCCAGATGAAAGAAGGCCGAAGGCAACAATTGCAGGTGGCTATGCAGACATTTTAACCTGAAATAAAATGCAGGGAAAGGAAGCATACATTTACAGCCTAATCATGAGAAGATTAAGACCTCTATAGAAACATAGAAATGATTTGTCCAATCAGCCTGTCCCTGAATATTTCTTAAGATCAGGAAGGAACAATGTCATCTTTTATCTGCATCCAGCGCATTGGAAACCATCCCTGCCCGTCTTTTTCTGCAATATATTAAAAGTGGTATTTTCTGACCCCTTCATTCCTAGCTGATTTAGGTATGAGTCAAGCCAGTTAATGTTGTAAGAAGGAAAAGCTCATAATCAGGCCTCATGGTGTCAACATTTTGCCCTTCCTCTACTTCTAGAGTAATTTTAAAACATTAAAAAAAAACTTGACAAAATTTCACCTTGGCTATCAAAGTAGATTGATTATTTTATCTCATCTTATTAAAAACTGTGTGAGTACACAACATAATTAAGAAGAGCTTTGTGACTTATAAGGTTGGCTTCTCCAGAGAAGATTATTATTTGTTCAGAGGATCAAGAAGTATAGCTGTTGAAATTAAAGACATTTCTTCATCAAAAAAAAAAAAGTAATCTTTGTGTTACATATACAGTTGGGAATGAAAAAATAATTGGATGGTGAATGGTGATTGTAGAAAAAATAACTTCATGTACTATAAATGTCCCTCAAATTGGCCTTCTTTAGATAGCATTAATCCTAGCTAGAAAGTCAAAGGTGGCTGGAGTCTGTTAATTCTCTGATCCACCTTATCTGAGAAGTATGTTTTAAAAAAAGATGCTCTATTTATGTTGTTTCTTATTAAAGACTTTCAAATATAACAATGCAGATAATGATTACAGACTCTATGTGTCTAAGTATCTATTAAAAAAATAATTATTCAGTATGACTCAGCAATATCTGTGGATCAAATCCTTCCTTAAAATAGAGTTATTTTGATATTTAAATGCAGTATTTTTTGCTACTTCATTTGGTTGCAAACTGTTTGAAAGAAGTCTCCATAAATAATGCTTAGTGCCAGTTGCAACAACAACAACAAAATTACATGAAGATTTGGATTTAAAAGATAAATGCATGAAAAAATATCCAGAAGGATAAGAATTTAAAATTTAATGAGTGAAACTGTCAGAATATTCATGAACTGGAATAGGGCATGGTAACAAGGTCAGCCAATGAATAGGAATAGCAACTAAATCAGCCAATGAGGACTATTTGGAAACTGAAACTGGAAGGAGCCTGAGCGTGGCTCTGTATTAAGCTCTGAGCTCTGAAACTGCAAACTAGTCTGTCTGCAACTCTGAATTGAAACTTCTCTCCTCTGCTGTTGGTATTGTATATTTACTTCATGTATTATATTGTATATAAAGAGAAGTTAATGAATCCTGCTGAATCAGTTACCTGTGTGTGCTTTCTGGATTTGATTTCTGCAACAAACTCTGACAGAAACTATATTACATTCAAAACATTTGACCACTAGGTTCTAATCCCAAGAAATTATGCTTCTATTCTATTCTGGTCTGTTCATATCACATGGATCTGAGCAAGTCCACAACTAAGAAGAAAAAGCATCTGAAACTCAGGCTCTTTGAGGAATAATTAAAAGAACTAGTTACATTTAGAAGATTAAGATTATTCTAAAAGTTTTCACATTACTAATAAAGTTTTATATGGACTTCTTCTTCTTGTGCCATATCCATCATTGGACATTGGCGATCATGTTGACAATCCTATTTTTATCAACAACCGCACAAAAAAGTGCTGTTGAATTTTTTTCCAAACCAGTCCCTTAGATTTTGAAGCGATGATGTTCTTCTTCTGCCAGGACCTCGTTTGCCTTCAATCTTTCCTTGGAGGATTAAGTGAAGTATGCCGTATTTTTCTGAGTGTTGCATCACATGTCCAAAATATTCTAACTTTCGCTTTTTTATGATTCATATGGACATGGAATCCATTTGTCTTCTATTGCTCAGAGGGCAAGATTAAAACTAATGAGTAGAATTCTTAGAGAAGCAGATTTTGAATAAATTCCTAATAATCTAAAATCTTCAAAAGTAGACTGCAGATGTTTAAACAGAGGCTGGATGGCAGTTTTAAGGATGTATAGCTGCATACTGAATTGAAGGTCTTGCACTGAGCAGACTGTTGGGCTTCATTGATTCCAGATCTGGTTTTGGTGTTAAAACTACCCTGTGATCTACTCAGGCAAACCGTTTTAGCCCGAGACCCAAGCAGTGATAGAAAACCATAAAAATTAGGAAATGATTAAAAAAATGTAAACCTGAATGAAATATAAGTTTCTCTAACATTTTGAATTACATCCACCCAGTTTGGGCATACAAGTCTCTGCTTACATAATAATAGTGAAGTTTGATCTGTAAGAATTCATTCTCTGGACTGAAGTGCAGCAGCCAGGGTTAAAAAGGTGTGAGTTGTGATATTTAATTCTACTCTGTTTTTTCTAATTTGTGCTGGTTTTAAAAGCAGAGG